CGCCGCCGCCGGCGCAGCCGCCGCCCCCGGGCTCCCCGTCCTCCTCGCCGCCGCTGCCCACCGCCTCGTCCAGGTTGTGCAGCTGGGCGAAGCCCACCCCCACGCCGCCGCCATCGGATTTCGCCGCCATCTTGACTCTCTTCCCAGCTCCGGAGGTTGGGGGGGGAGGGACGGGTGGGGGAGAGAAGGCAGGGACCGGGGAGGGGGGGAAACGAATGGAGAGGAAGGGGGGCGGGGAGGAAGCGGGGGAGCGAACGAACGCGGGGGGGAGTGGGCCAGGGAACCCCCTCCGCTTCCGGGTAGTCGGCGTCACTTCCGGGCGAGCCCCCCAATCGCACGGCGCCCGCAGCTCCCCGGCCCTACCCTCCCGGCCAAGATGGCCGCCCTCCTGTGCCTCAGCTGCTGGGCGGGGGGCCGGGGGGTTCTCCCCGCCAGGGCTCCCCTTCCCCTCTTCCGTTGACCCCGAAACCCATCAGGTTGACCCTTCGGCGTTTCAGAATCCCGCTGGGCCGAGTGAAGCGGTCCAAAGTGATCCCTGGAGCGGGCAGTGCCAGACGTTTTGGGGTCCCCTTCCTCAGCGTCGCAGCTCACAGCTCTCCTCCTGGAGAAACGCCCCCTAACACCCTCCCGGCTGCTGGCGGAGGGGCGGGACCTCTGAGGGAAGGGGCGGAGCTAGTGCAAAGCAGGTGATTACGTGTCACTTCCGGGAGATGGGATGACCTCATTGTGTAGTTAGACGCCCCCCCTCATCAAGATGGCTGTGTCTCACCTTTTTGGCTGTGTCTTTTCCTTGTTCTACAGTTCACTCTTGTTTACTTACTTTGGGGGTGGGGGTGGGGGCTCTGAAAATTATGTAAGTCAGTTGAGATTCCCACAAACAACTTACTGGTCCTCTTCTATTTTGACACCTTTCCTCCTCTTTTACCTCTGTAGACCCCTTGATTTTCCTATCACTGACAGCTTTGCATCCTTTGTAATAAAGTTTCCATCATTCCCTTAAGAAAATGCCAGGCAGAATCCAGTTAGAAATCAGCCTGTTGTGTCTTGCCTGTTGGAGGGACGATTAAATAGACATATAATGACCTTGAGTATATTTTCTACACAATCAAAATATATTTCTACAAATTTTTTTAAAGTGTGTGATTTTCAAATTATATGACCTTAATTTGGAAAACTCAGGCTACTTGAACGTGTGAAGATTTTCCTTCAGAATTTTTTTGGTGCTAAGGTTCTGTGGGTAAACATGGCTTTAAATGAGTGAAAATGTTATTGATGTGCTATATCATTAGAATAGGTGCAGGGGACACTACTTGAACTTACCTAACAAATTACATAAGTGAAGCAGCGCTGAATGGATTTGAATTACAATGATCTTTCAATGAAAGTATATTTTGAACCAGATAGGGCAAGCTATATGGTCACAGTTGTCACTGATTAAAACGTTTTGAAGTTAAGAAGAGAAAGAAAGAAAGAAGACACCTGGATTTACTCATCGACCCTCCTAGATATTTCAACTAATTTTCTGAGTCTTTATTCTTCTCACTTAAATAAAATCTAATAATGCCAATAACTTTCTTTGAAGAAGACAAATTAAGTAATATTTGTATGCCTTAGAGTTGCCTTTGACAACTTCAATAGTTACTTTGATCTATGACGTTCAGCGCTAGAGCACACCACTGTTTGAGAGTATACGGGAAGAATAGGACTATAACACACAATTTTTTGTGGGTGTATATGCCAAGATAGAACCTATAAAGACTTTTGAGGAAGTGCAAGAAATTTATACCCCAGACATTGGGGGAAAGGGTGATTCCAAAATCTACTTTGGAATCCACCCCAAGTCATATAACTGTAACCATTTATTTCACACAATGATTTAATCCCCTTACTTCTTATGATAGTAAAACTTAAAGCTAAGGAGTAAAAATTAATTCTGCATATAGATAGAATTCTGGTTTTTTTATTTACTGAATTTGAAAGAATAACACCTTACATAGCAAAAGTGTAGAGTACAATTGCTCAGGTTTAGAGACGTTTCACTAAAATGGTAATATGAATAATGTAAGCAAGAAAACCTCCTTAAACCTCAGTTTCCTCCTTTAAAGCATTTCAAAAATGTACTGGGTGACAATCTATTCAAAGTACTCAACAAGATGCCAGATAGACAGTGGGCACTAAATAAATAGTAACCACTTTTGTTATTGCCATTGTTGTTATTGTATTTGTATAATGCAACATATGCCTACCTATGTTTCATTGAGCATATTTGGTACCTGTAATAAAAGAAAGCATTTTGAGATACTTCTAGGAGCTAGATACAATTGATTTGAGCTTTTAAATATATTTTTCTATTTAATCTGTGAGGCTATGAAATGAGATACAAAAGCAAACAGTAATGGTTTATTCATCATTCCTATTTCTCTGTGCCCTGGAAGAACATAATCTACTAGTGAAATTAGCTAAGTAAATTACATTCACTATACAGGGGATTATGAGTCAAAAGTGTTTACCACAATTGAAGTTTCAAATAGAAACATAAGATTCACAGACTGTCAAGTGATTTCAACTTCATATTTGCTGGTTCAACAATTTTATCTTTCTTGTTTCCTTTGGAAGGGGGATATATGGTAAAACCCAGAAGGTTCTAAAATTAAAATCAGTTCTAGTGACAGTAAACCTATCATGAAGGCTCATGAAAAGATTAACATAAATTTGAGCTGTGTTTTGAGTGGTGCTTTTTTAGCTAGAATTTTGGGGCAAATAAATATTCCAAGTGAATCCATTATTTAGCTCAATGTTATAAACATTATGGGCACTCAATAAATATTGGGTAAACAAATGGGTCATTTGATTAATTTTTCTGAATAACCAAAAAATCTTAAGCCAGAGATTTAACCAATCAAGTGCCAAAAAATGTACAGTATTTTATATTTTATGATATAAATCTTCATAAAACTCATTGATCTATTACAAAAATACCTAAAACCTTTAATTAAATGAGGAGGAGATAAATGAATTCATTGCTCACTGTCCTGCTTTCTGCACACTGGTCAGGTAGGTAACCATTTGTTTGTTTGTTTATTTTGTTGTTGGGAATTGAACCTATAGCCTTATATACATGCTACACTGAGCCACACCCCTGGCCCCAGTTAACCTTTTCTTGACCTTGATGTGGCATTATGCTAAAAGGCTCTGACTATGTGCCTACCCAGACCTACTAGACATCTTTGTTGTTGGTGGTGGTGGTTTTCTTCTGACACTGTTCCTTTCAACTCTGATTAGTTAACATTACTGTTCAGTTAGTTAACATCTTGGGTCGTAATACTTCCACTCTTTCATAGGATGAGAAGCCAAATATCAAAGCATGTTACAATTACATAACTGTTACAAATGCAGTTTTAGAGCTCCTATGAGTATAGTAAGACAGTGTTAACATGGGGAAGGAAAGTTGTGACATAAATTTTAACTGGGGTTTTTCTTCCCAATTCCCTGCTATTTTCAGAAAAGCAAAAAGGGAATGTTAGTGTTGAATGCAATTAGGTATTAGCACTCTCTCAAACACTATTCTCTTTAATCTTACAACAGTCCAAAAAAACATGGTAATTTATTCCCCATTTTAGTTGTTTAGAAAACACCCTCAGTTCTGCCAGATGACTGAGTCACAGGCTTGGGAGATAGGGGAGCGATAGTTTTTAATCCAGGTAAGTATCATTCCAAAGCCTGTGCCACCTGCCCTCCCATTGCCTTGGCCCAGCCACTAGTGGCACCTATCAATGAAGCCAGTGTCACTGTGTTGGCCACAGGAGAGACCTTACCACAATGCTAACCTATAGCTAAGCGACAGAACATTTGAGTTCCAATATGGGCATGGATCTCTGCAAAAGGATTTCAAAAGAGCTTCCTCATACATTCTTCAAAGGTTTGAGCCTTGGTGAGGCATGAGAACTCTAGGTAGATGGCATCCTCATCCAGTCTGTGCCTTGTATCTTACTTACTTCTATAGGAATAGAAATTCTTTGAGTACTGCAGAGTAAGCTCATAAGATCCATTATCCTTACAAGTACATTACTGTATTGATGTTAAGAATTCAAGTATTAGCAAGTGGTCTCATGTATTGTTGCTGGTGATACAAAATGGTACAGTGTCTACAGAGAGGAGCAACTAGGCGCAAAAGTACAAATGCAGTCACCCTCTGAGACAAGAGTCCTTATGGGAATGTATCCTAAAACCAAACATGCACATATCAGAAAGCACATGGTTATTCATATAGCATTTTTCATAAGAGCAAGAGAAAACGGAGGGATAAAGACCTGAAGGGAAACTAGTTAAATAAATTATGGTGCATCCTCACAACAGACCATGATGTAGTGATGTTGGAAAATGGTAAGTTCCTTTTTAACAATACAGAATAAGTTGCAGAATGCTTGGTTATACAAAAATAGCAAAGTGCAGTACAATATAACATCCTACGTTTTCTGTAAGAAAAGAGAATGGATAAAGTTATTCCTACTTGCTTGTGTTTGCATAAACCAACTCTAGAAAGATACCTGAGAAAACAGAGTTTACCTGTAGGTTGGTGGTAGTGGTGTGACTGGAAAGGGAGGAAGATATTAACTATAGGGGGGGTCTCAGAAGAGTGGCAGGGAACATGCACACACCTGCAGTGTCACAGAGGTAAGTAAGAGGAGTACATCTGTATTCTCTAACAGTAACACTAATGAGAGTATTCTATAAAGGTATTTGTCTGTTAAGAACTAAATATAGGACTGGAGTTTTTGCTCTGGAAAAGTGCTTGCTTAGCTTACATACGGATCTGGGTTTGACCCCAGCACTGAAAATAAACAAGTTACAACTCTGACATCTGTAAATTTACTTAAAACTTTCTGAAGCTTCTTTATATTTTTATCCACTAGCTAATTAAAAACAATGAGCTTCGTGAGTTAACTCGTCATATATATACGGTACATTGTAACGTCATCATAAATATACTCAACATAGGTGAAATCGATTGTTTGTGCTCAACCAAAAGAAAATGGAGAGTGAGCGATAGCAAGTCAAATCATTTCAGAGAATGAACATGGAGCTTACACCCCCAAGTTGGATGTGAGATTGGAAGTGGAAACATTCCATTTCCACAGTAGACTTTTGTTTCTCATATGATTGTATTGCCAGGAAAAGTGTGTTGTGTTGGTCCTACAACATGCCCTCCAAATGCAAACCACGTCCTTTGTCTTGCCCTCAACCAAAAACACAAGATGTGATCGGACGCTGACTGGGCCAAGTCCTTCATACATTCATTGACACTACTTTTTCCCCTGGTTTTATAGCATTGTGTGATACCTGTGTCGGACTTTTCCTGTCATCACAGAAGATGTGTGATGAAATAGGCAGTCATGCAGCCCTGAGTCTGAATTCCCAGTTCAACCTATGTCTATCACTTTACGGAAGATAGTTTTCTTTTGGGTTTATTTTCCTTATGTGTAAAATAATGACCATAATGTTCTTCCCTCCACAAGCTTATTATGAGATGAATATCTGGTACACAGTAAGTGCTACATAGGTACTGGTCCTCCCTTTCTACTTACTCCCTGTGGCTGTAATAACAAATTACCAAAAAAAAAAAAAATTCCTATCATTAGGGGCTGGGGACAAAGCTCAGTGGCACAAGCACCTACCTAACAAGTGCAAGGTCCTGAGTTCAATTCCCATACCAAAAAAAAAATTACCACAAGGTTAATTACTTAATACAAATTTATTATCTTACACTTTTGGAGATCAGACTTAAAAGGGAATCTAAAAGCTAAACCCAGTGCTGCATTCCTTCTGGAAGCTCTGTGGAGAATCTGTTCCTGCC